TCCACCATGGCAGGAAGTTTCTCACTGTAGATGATCAAATTTCAAATGATTAAAATTTTAGAGTTGGAAGATATCTTAAAGTTCATTAAGTTGCTTTGACCACTCACATCCCTACTCCCACCCTAAGCCCATTTAATGAATGTAAAATGGTCATTTGATGTCTAAACCTTAGCAAAGATATGGATACTTAGAAACAAGTTTTCCTGAACCTAGTTTTCCTATAACCATCAATCTTCTCAAAAATAAAAAAGAAATTAAAATATAGTCAGTAACAATATAAGCCAGTTCCACCTGGGTCCACTGGCCTCCCTGCCTCTTTTTATTTTTAATAATTCTTTTCTTTTTTTTTAGAGGTTTTTGCTATAGGGCATGTGCGCTCGCCAGACAGACAGAGAGAGACAGAGAGATAGAAAGCGAGAAATCACCCCCCAGGGGTATGGCCATGCCACAATCCCTTCTCCTCCATTCTCCTCTCGGGATCTTGGGCACGCACGCAAACGCGCCCAGCGTGAGTTTTAAGCCGCCAGGTCTGGGATGCGAACTGCAGTCAACTACATGGCAGTCCAGCAACATAGCCATTATGCTAACTACTGGTCCCCCTCTCTGCCTCTTTATTAACCCTAGGATATGGGTCTTGATTAATCCAGGTGTGTCAGTTTTCCAGATTTTGTGCTGGCCATTGAACTTGAGGGGAAATTGGAGGGCATCTTAGTACATTTTGTGCTGCTATATCAAAATACCACAAACTGGGTTAGTTAGGTATGTATGTATGTATGTACTTACAGTTTTTGCTACAGGGCACATGCACTTGCCAAAGACAGAGAAGGAAACTGAGAAATCACCTCCCAACAGGGATGGCCATGTTGCAATCCTTTCTCCTCTATCTCCTCTTTGGATTTTAGGCACTCATGCACAAGTGCCTGGCATGATTTTCAAGCCATCGGGTCTGGGACTTAAACTGTGCAGCTGGCCATTTGGCATCCAGTGTCTTAACCTCCACACCACCTGCTGGTCACAGGCTGTCATTTACAATGAACAGAAATTTCTCATTGTTCTGGAGGTTGGGCAATAGAAGATTCAGGTACGGGCATCTGTCGAGGGCCCTCTTGAAGCATCACTCCATGGTGAAAAGACATAGAGGTGGAGGAGGAAGAAGCTGAACTCATCTTTCTGTAAGATACCCACTCCAGCCATAATGACATGAATCCATTCATGAGGGCAGAGTACCCAAGAACCAAACATTCTCATTAGGCCCACTAAAATGCTGCTGCATCGGGGATCAAGTTTCCAACACATGAATTTTGGGGGACACATTTAAGTCATAGCAAAGGGCTTTCAGAAAAAAGAAATATTTTAGTTTTCTTTAGGAGACCATGGAAGCGATAGCCCTTTTTCTGCCATGGGACATGGGTGATGTTATCCTTTGTTTCTGGTGTGGGAAAAGGCTTATACAACTCTGGTCTAACAACTTAGCAAGAGGAATCAAAAGTCATGAAAGCTTAGGGCCAGCTCCGCAGCCCAGGGGTAACGCACTGTTCAGCAGAAGCTGGGCACATACAGCAACTTGGTTTGACTGTTAACTTGGACACATGGTTTGAATCCCTGGCATGGACAGCCTGAAACATGCCAGGCACATACATGAGTGTCCAAGGATCTAAGGGGCTGGAAAAAGGGGACTGTAGGGTGGCCAGACCTTGTGAATGGTGCTTCTCACCTTCTCTCTCACACAAAGTTACGTGCATAAACTCTATCGCATATAAAGAAAACATTTTTTTGGAAGTCTAAAAATCTCCTTTGGCCCTGCAGTCCTTTCTTTTAGTATTTATGCTATAGAATAGAGGTATTTAGGAAATAAAAAAATTTACATGTTCAAAGATGTACTGGCTTTTACATTTGTTTTAATAAAAGAATTGGAAATCAGCCAAGTATCCAACAATGGGGTGTCAGGAAACCCAATGAAGGATTCTGAAATAGGCTACCCCACCCCCTAATGACAGGGTGTTCCACTCAGCCTACCCTTCTGGGCTGTCTCCACCTTCCACTGCCTTTCAGCTACTTTATAATTATGTAAATTGAGGAAAACTGATAATGCAGATGCTTCTTGTCCACAGAAATGCAAATGGTGGTCAGTGAGATGTAAGTAATTGATTATTGCTTTGTGGATATTGGTTAGTTTTGCCATTTTTCGTATCTACTAAGCAAAATCATCTCAGCACTTCTGGGGGCTTGTTATTTATTGATTTGCTCTTTGGATTATCCTTTGAACCAATTAAAACACCTTCCAGGCTCTCTCATTAATTAACGAGTTAAATAAGATTTTAACATGTTCACTTTGTGTTTTACGAGTCATAATTTTTACTTTTTAAAAGGTTACCCCTTAGGGACCAGCAATTGCTATAATGGCTATGTTGCTGGACTTCCATGTAGTTGACCATGGTTCAAGTCCCAGACCCAGTGGCTTAAACTCACGCTGGGCACGTGTGCGTGCGTGCGTGCCCGAGATCCCGAGATAAGAATAAAGGAGAAGGGATTGTGGTGTGGCCATCCCCCCAGGGGATGATTTCTCACCTTCTGTCTCTGTCTTTCTGCGAACACACGCACCCTATAGCAAAAAAATAAAAAATTAAATAACTTCTCCAAAATAAAAGAAGTTACCCTTCAGCAAGGTAGTTAAAAAAATTTAGTTTATTTATTGATGAAATTTACTTATAGCTCTCTTAAAACAGTTACAAAGACCATATAGCAACAAGAATACTTCTGATAAAACATTAAATGGGGAACAAAAACAGAAATGCAAATTTGTACTATGCTGTGGTTGAAAGTGATTAAAACTTAAGAAAGGCAGTTTTTAAAAAAAAGGGGAGGTGAGAAGGCCGCTCTCTGGCCTGAAGGTTAAGGCTGCTGGATCCCACATGGCCAACCATGCAGTTAGAGTCATGGACCTGATGCCTAGAGAAATACGCTGGGCATGTACGTGTATGCAAATGCACATGCCCAAAGAGGAGGGATTGTGGCGTGACCACTCCCCATGGGGCAGGGAGTCCTTTCTCTTTTCCTTCTGTCCTGCATGTGCCATCTAGCAAAAAAACCAAAACAAAACAAAAAAAAAAACTTGACGTTGGATTTCTTAGAGTGGTGGGTTCCTGCTATACACGAACAAAACTGAACAAAATATTGGTTTCCTATTGATGCTGTAACAAATCATCACGAACTTAGCAGTTCAAAGCACTACTGATTATTTCACAGCTCCAGAGATCAGAAGTCCCAAACGGGAAGGTCTTGTGAGCCTAAATTAACACATGGGCAGTGAGGTGTTCCTTGAGAATGTTTCCTTCCCTTTTCTGGCTACTGGAGGCTGCCAGCATTCCTTGGCTTGTAGCCCCTTCCTCCACCCTGTCGGTAGCACAGCACCCTCAAATGTCTGCCCTCACTGCTTATCAAACTCAGGTATGGTCCTTGTGGTTACAATGGCTCCATCCAGGCAATACAAGGTAGTCTCTCCATCTTGGGGTCCTTAACTTACACTCGTGAAATCTCTTTTGCCATTCACAGGTTCTGAGGACTAGAACATGAGCATCTTTTCTTTTTTTTTTCTTTTTTGGAGAGGTTTTTGCTATAGGGTACATGCGCCAGAGAGATAGAGACAGAGAGACAGAAAGCGATAAATCACCCCCCAGGGGGGATGGCCACGCCACAATCCCTTCTCCTCCATTCTCCACTCGGGATCTTGGGCACGCACGCACACGTGCCCGGCGTGAGTTTTAAGCCACCGGGTCCGGGATACGAACCATGGTCGACTATGTGGGAGTCCAGCGACATAGCCATTACGCTAACTGCTGGTTCCCATGGAAGAAGTAAACTTTAAAATTACATTCAGGCTGTATGTATAAGGATGTCTATAAAATGTAAATTAATTTCAAGTTTAGACTGGGGTCCCATCCCAAAGATATCTCATTGTATAGAAATAAGTATTCTAAAATAAAATTTAAAAATCCAAAATTCTAAACACTTTTGGCCCCAAGCATTCTGAATAAAGGATACTTAACTTACAGTAACATGTTTATGACAGAATATAGGTAGTGGGTATACAGATGTTCACTGTAACAACCTTTCACTTTATTTCAAGTTGTCATAAAAGAATTTTGAAGAAAATAAGACATGATCCTGGAATATTACCCTAGCGATCTGTTAATAAAGAGAAGGATCTGGAAAATCACCAAGCATGATCTTGAATAACCTTTCTACTTAAAATCGATGGCTCTTAACCAGGGCAGTTTTGGAAGGCGACTATAAAGGAGCAGGAACGTTTGTGGTGTTCTCTAGAACTCTCAATAAGGGAAGTGTTACTGGCATATACAGGGAAAAGGCCAGCAAGTATCAGCAGTTTCTGCGACCACCCCACCTGATCACACGGCAGTCTTTCCACACCAAATGTCGCTGAGGAACACCTATTATTTTTTCTTTTATTCATGACAGAGCACGAATGCATACACATGACAGCAGGACAGAGAACTCTCCGCAGGGTCTGGTCACTCACAGTCTCCTTCTTCCAGTCCTCCATTAGATTTTGGGCGTGTGCACATATGCCCAGTGTGTGCCAGGCTGACTGGGCTGGGGATTTGAACTGCAACTGCCATGTGGGTTGAGCAGCCATGGAGTCAGTCCAAGCATTCCTTCAGAGTTGGTTGTATCTCTCACGTCTTTGTAACTCCAGAACCCAGCGTGAGTACTCTATCAAGAACACGTTTAATGAACATTTACTGAAGGAGGAGTGGGTGTCTCATGACTATCTCAAAGTGACCCCCAGGTAGTTCTTTTGATTCAACTCTCAGCCCCTTTCTCCTTCCTTGCCTTCCACCGTCTCATTCAGACTGGCCGATGAGGAAGAATGTTCAATGCTGCCAAGAGATATCACTGGACACTACATCTTTGTTGCCACCTCCATTCCCCTGTACCAAATGGTGGGGGAGATACTTGGAAGAAACCACCATGACGCAGGATTGAGAAAAGCCAGCATAAAGCACTTTTATTGCAATAATAAAACTTGAAACTCATGTATGGTGCCAGGGATTAGGGGGAGAGGGGTGGGAGGAGCAACAATTTCTCTCACCAAATCACTACACAGGACAGCAAAGGGGTGAGAAGGGACCGAGGGAGGAACAGCCAGGAGACTTTGATATCAGCAGAGGGAGCCAAGCATCAAAAACCAGGAGATGCTGAAGCTGCGATGACCAGCATCACTTTCTCAAGAGAACACTCAAGGATGTGTCATGATGGCTGGGCTTTCACTGGGTGTTAAGTCTACAAACAGCACCTTCATTTTAAACTTTCGATTAAAGTTCTTAAAATTTAGGAAGTGGTGAAGCTTGGATAGTTATGAGATTACAAAAGTCCTGAAAATCCATTAGAAAACCACAGGACAGAAGAAAAAGAAAGGAAAAAAAAGCCAGGCCACGAAGAAGGCTTCAGAGGTCCCCGCTGGCCCAGGGACAGATACCTGTAGTGTCCACATCGCAGTGAAAATGATCTGCTTTCAAAAGGCAAAGGGTTTAAGGAGAAGGAGGGGTGGTGGGCTGGTGGAGACAAAGGCTCTCCCCCTCCCCACTTCAGTTTAGGGTAGCTTTTAATTTAACCCAAGGACATTTCTCAACTAAGAGAATAATTCAGTCCTCAACAGCGCCTCAAATCTGCTATGGCTTTGCAGCGCAGCAGCAAGAATGTTCAATATATAATAGATAAAAATTTCATCCAAAAAAAAAATAAAATAAAGATTCTTACACCCTCCCCCCAACACCAATTCCTATTCTAAAGTTAACCCATCATTTGTGCTGTTAATACTTGACCCTATACTTAATTGGAAACCTATACCCAAAAGACTGAAACTGAATCTTCACCCCAAATGAAAACAAAAACAAAATAAAATGAATAATTTGAGGTTTATGGCATATAGTTTAGGTAAACACACATACGAGGGGAAAGGGGAGAGGAAATGGAGGTGTGGGAAGCAAAGCTGAGTGACAGAACACATTCAGTCAGGATAGATGTTTACACAGAGTGTAGTGGAACATCAGGAAAAGCTCCGCGTAGAATCGTGTGCACACATCTGGAGGCACCACATCCCTCCATGGCAGATCTGCTGGGGACAGAAAATCGGTGAGTTCCAGCAACTCATTGTTCTTTCTGTGCAATGGGGATAGCCACAGTGCCATCTGCCATGCCAAGCCCCTTCCATTTTAGATGTAGGAAGCCAGTAGGGCTCAGGCTGGTTCCCAGGTGAACAATTTTCTTCCTGCTTAAATTGGTCCCTGTGGGACTAGCAGGTGGTGTGGTGGTTAAGGTGCTGCAGTCCCACCTGGCTGACTATGGTTCAAGTCCTGCACCTGGCAGTTTGTCTTCTTCCTCTGTCTTATCTGGTGGCTTGCTCTCTCTCTCAATCTCTCTCTCTGTCTCTGGTGAGTGCACATGTCCTATAACAAATTTTAAAAAATAACAATGATAATAATTAATTCTTAAAAAAATGGTCCCTGTGTTTTGTTTTGAACCTAAGGTTAAGTTTACCTTGTTGAAGACAGCAGGAGGGCTGTCCACCCAGCTGCTGATAATTCAGTACCCCCATTATCACTTGGGTCTCTAACATGGCTACACAAAAGAATCACCTAGAGGGTTTTAACTATCTTAATGCCTGGGTCCCTGCTGAGTCCCACCCCCTACCACAGTGATTAACAGGTTTAAGGTGAGGCCTGCACAGCAGGAGATTCCTTTTTTTTTTTTTAAGGTTATTGCCATAGGATATAGTGTGCTGGGGGCAGGGTAGAGGATGGGGTGGGGGAAGTGAGAGGGAAAGTGAGAAATCACCCCTCGGGGGTGATTTTTTTGGCTATGCAGCAATCCCTTCTTAATTCTCCTCTCGGGATTTTGGGGCACATGTCCACACATGCCTGGCATGATTTTTAAGCCACCAGATCAGACTTGAACTGTGGTCAACCATGAGGGAGTCCAGTACCTTAACCACCAGGCCACCTGCTGGTCCTAGGAGATTCTTAAAAGCTTCCCAAGTGACTCTAATGCAAAGTCTAGACCAAGAACCAAAGCCCCAAGTAGGCACCCATCATTCTGAACAGACTTGGAAAATATCTTCACTTACTGAGTTTGCCCTCAAGCTTCCCCTCAAAGCTCTTTCAAGAAGCTCTGTGATGCTCCGTGGTCATGGGTATAGGGGTGCGGGGTGAGGATGACTTGTAGCCCTTCACCCCATCAGATTTACGGAAAGCGTGTTACCAAACCAAGGTAACTCCGAGGCTCCCTCAAGTAATTTATGTTCAAATGTCCCAGCTCTCCAAGAATAAGGGAGTGAATTTGGACTAAGAGTAGAGCTTTGGGCATAGAAAGGATCTATAAAGTGTCAGAAGCAGCCAGTTATCAGACCTGATCAGGCCTTTATTACCTACAATTGTCGACTCAAACCACTGAGAGGGAAGATAGCTAATAATAAAAAGCCCCTCCACTTAAAGAAATCCATGGCAGGACAAGGTTACAAGTAGCTCTGACTGCCATCACGGACAGGCTGGTAGCCACTTGCTGCAATTTTCAAACAAGTGTTCTCGCCCAGCCCCTGCCAGTGGCCTTCTGGTTCTAGGGGCAGGAGGGTAGTGAACATAAAAGTTTGGTAGCAGCTGAAAAGATGGTGATGGCTACATATTCAATGGTTCTAATACCTACATGAAAACCTCTGCACTACTAGGATATGGAGTTTGGTTCCCCAAGCAATAAGGATAGAAGGAACTCAGGAAATGGGCTCTGGTGCTAGCTTGCTACTGCCTGGATGTGACCCTGTCTAAGGCCTTTATCTCCGGGCCTCAGTTTATTCATCTGTTGCACAGGAAGATTGGCTGCAAACCCTAAGGTTCCTTCCTAGGACTGTCTGATCTGAGAGTACCCTTTACTCTTCACAAGCATCCTCTGGTCTCATATTTCCACTCACTGACAACGAGCTGGTCCACCAGCCTTGAGCATCCTGGGCTTGCTCCCTAGGCAGTGGACCAAGGCAGAGTAGCACCTCCCTCAGGCAATAACCACAACCCGTATGGATAAGAGGGCTGCACAAGCTAGGACTTACTCATGTATAGAGGTGCTTTGCTTATTCTTACTAACTTTTTTTAAAAAGAGAGAAATTTTTGCTATAGGGTAGATGCACTCACTGTAAAGACAGAAAGCAAGACATCACCCCCCGGGGTGGGGGAATGGCCACACTGCACCCCTTCTTCTCCATTCTCCTCTTGGATCTTGGGCATACATGGACACGCACCTGGCGTGAGGTTTAAGCCACCGGGCCCGGGACTAGAACCGCAGTTGATGACGTGGGAGTCCAGCAATGTAACCATTACACTACTTGTTGGTCCCTTCTTACTAACTTCTAACAATACATCGTAATGCCATTAAGTCCCATTTCTAAAGAACTCACATTGGCACTAAAAATTTAGCCCAAGTTTCCACAGTCCCACCCTAGTTTTACTGTATGCTCTACATATGAAAACACTTCATTTAAATAGTTACTATCCCGTGAGTTCATTCAAGAGCATATGCCAATCCTTGCTTAGGATGACCAACTTTTGCATTAGAGGTATGTACTAACAACTAACACCAAAATGAACACTCAATAGAGGAGGAACGTAGGAGGGCAAAAGCCTGCGGCAGTTAGAGGTTCTGTAGCATTCAGCTTCCTTACCCAAGAACAGGGAGCTGAGGGAGGAGGCCATTCCTGTCATTCCAGTTTTAGAAGTTCCACGTCGAAGATGAGAGTGGCGTGTGGTGGGATGATGCCTGGGTGCCCAGTTGCACCGTAGGCATAGTCTGGGGAGATGATCAATTTGGCTCGCTGGCCCACACTCATCTGTGAAAATAACAAGGAAGACTCAGCAGGACACACTCCCCAACTGTCTCCGTAAGAATCAGAGCTGTTTACCTGGGTAATTCTTGGCCAGGACCATGTTGACTAGGACATTCCAGTGACCCTGCAGCTGCCTGGGCATCAGACACCCCTACGTAGGACTTGGAGGTTGGCAGACAGATTCCATGACTCTTGCATTTCCTGCCAAGGGGCCCAATGACAGTTAAAAGCCCCTCTTGATGAACAGAAAGGTCCGCTCTCATCCTTTCTACTCAGGTCTTAATGAATTTCATAGGAAGTGACACCCACGAGTCTTACTACCTGGTCCTTCACTGTCTGTCACTCAAAGGACATGTTTTTAATGGCATCTGTTTCCATCTTGAAAACTGAAAACTTTGACTAAAATTTTGCTATTAAAGAAAATACAGAAAATAATATTGGGAGGTAGTTTTTTTGTTGTTGTTGCTGTTCTTTCCATATTTATACTTACATAGAAAAACTTTTAAAAAGACAATATGATTTTAAAGATACAAAAGAGCATGTACGGTATGCTACCATTTGTGAAAATATTTATGCATCTGCACCCACTGTATGAACAGAAAATGTCTTTGGAAGGACACCAGTAATATCAGTGTTTTCCTATGGGCAGAACAGAGTGGACAGTGACCAGTGTGGAAGGGAAATTTCCACTGTAAAAAATGCATTTAGTTGCTAAGCAAATACACACACAAGTATCTCTGAACAGAGAGCAGGTTGTCTGCTGTATTTCCATCCTTTGACCTATCTCTGCTTTTAGTCGCCACATATGCATTCTCAGCTCTCTGACCTGGCCTGAGAGACAGTGATTAAAGAGGAAGCTATAGGCTGTAATGACGTTTCCAGCACAATTCAGAATCCTTGCTCTCCACAGCTCCCCAGCAAGAGTCCTTGCTTCCTCAGAAACTGGGACACCTTGGATGAAGGTGGTAAGAACAGTTAAAGGAATATAGCTTTATCTAATAAAGTTTAAAGGCAGCCATATTCTGGGTCAGTGAGTGGCATGGTAGTTAAAGTACCTGGATCCCATGTGGCCAACCATGTGGTTTGAGTCCCAGATCTGACAAGCTTGAAAAATGTGCTAGGTATGTATGCGTGTGTGCCCAAAATCAAGAGGGGAGAGAAAAGGAGGAGGAAGAATTGTGGTGTGGCACCCCCATAGAAGGTGCTTTCTCTCTCTCTCCTTAGTGAGTTCATGTACTCTCTGGCAAATTAATAAACAAAACCAAAAACCCAAATATATTCTTTGACTCAGCATTTCCACTTCTACATTCTTCTTCTAAAAACTTAAATGTCTGGGACCAGCAGATGGCGTAATGGCTACGTCACTGGACTCCCATGTAATCGACTGCAGTTTGAGTCCTGGACCCGGTGGCTTAAACTCACGATAGGCGTGTGTGCGTGCGTGCCCAAGATCCCAAGAGGAGAATGGAAGGGACTGCAACGTGGCCATCCCCCTGGGGGGTGATTTCTCGCTTTCTGTCTCTCTCTCTGGAGAGTGCACATGCCCTATAGCAAAAACCTCTCAAAAACAAAGAAAGAAACAAAAACCTCTCAAAAACAAAACAAAACAAAAAACCTAAATGTCCATCCAAGAGGAGTAGTTTCCAAAGAGGAGTGGTTTCCAAAGTATATCCAACACCGTGGATTAGCCATTAGAAAGAAAACAGTAGCTCTAAATGTACTAACATGAAAAGATGCCCAAGATACATTATTAAATGAAAAAACGAAGTGGCCAAATTAATACCTGTCGCGGGATTCCATACCTACAAACATGTAAAACCAAAACACCAACATCAGTAAAAGAAAAGGAAAGAGGTACATGACAATTCTTCCTTTCTTCAGTTTTTAACTCACTTGCTGAAGAAATACTCTGTGAAAGGGAGTTTGAAAGATGTTTTTAAATATTTTTCTAATGTCCGAGGGCACATATGCTCTGGAGGGGTGGGAAGAGGGCAAGGAGAAAGCAACTCTCAATGGGGAATGGGCACAATGCAGTGCCTTTTTCTCCGTTTTTCTATCTCGTTGGGGATTTGGGGCATGCACATGCACCCAGTATGTTTTTTTGCCCAGCATGCTTTGCTAATCACTGGGGCCAGGATTTGAACTGCAGTCAGTCATGTGGGGTCTAGCTCCCAATATGCAATGCTTAATCTGTGTACTGCTCTAGGGGGCTGGCCTTAAAAGATGTTATACCTAGGTTTCAAAATAACTACACAGATTTCTTACAAGTGACAAGGTTGTGACTGGCTCCAAATCAATGGGGCAAGTGGGAATCTTGGGATCTCCCCAACACTCCATCGTGCCTCACCAAGCTGGGGTCTGACGTAGGCTGATAACACTATCCTAATGGCAGCTATAGCAGCTGGGACACACAAACCAGTTACTATTCCATACTGGAACAATCCCAGAACATGGGTTGTGGTGTGGACAATGGTTGGCACAAGAGGTGGGAAACGAGCCACAGATTCAAAGGTACAGTTGGCGAGGTTTCCCAAGGGAAGTAAAGATCCTCTTCCTTGTACTGCAAACCCTTAGCCCTACAGAAACAGAAACCCAGATACCTGAGAGTGGAAGGCTTAAAGTTCATGAAAACTAAGCCGTGTATCTGGAGATAAAGCAGTGATATTTTACAGAGGAAGTGGAGCAATGTGTATTCTGGAAAAGAGACACAGAAATCTTTCTTTTCATCTTTGCTAAATTTCCTATTCTCCTTGATGATAGAGAGACAGACCCCTCATATGGGCATACTTAGAAAGCCTCCTGAGTCTCAAGCCACTATAAACAACCTTTTACCTGGTTAGTGCCAAGGAAAAATTCCTGGAAGGAAAGAATCCAACTGAAATTTGGCAGCCCTGGGCCCCTATCAACTCCTAGAAATTTCATAGGGTTGGCAAAACAAAAGCTGTTCCTACAAATGGAGAGGGAAGAGGTGAAGAAACATACTCAAGACAAACAAAATGACCTTTGCTATGACCTCTCAGAAGGGTCACACAATGGTCAATCAAAAATTCTCCCTAAGTCATGTTTAACACACTGAGCTGGTGCTGCTGGGAGACAGCACCTTCACTGCTACCGGTGGCAGTGTGAAGAGTGTAATGCCTGTGGACAGCAACCTGGCAAGATCTGCCAAAATACAACACATGGCCTTTGAGACATGCACTGCATTTCAGAGGATCTGTCCTACCCCAATACTTGTACGCATACAGAGTCTGGGCGAGATGCGTCACTGTAACACTGTTTACAACAGCAAACTACTGGAAACAACCCAAAAACCCACAGGTAGGGTGCCAGCTCAATATATATCACAATACACTCACCTGCAGGAATACCATGCAGCTCTATGACAGCTTCCTCCTCTTTCACCTACTGGTATAAAAAGTGTCAAAAATAGATTAAGTGAGAGGCCAGCAGATGGCGTCCTGGTTAAGGTGCTGGATTCCCACATGGCTGTCAGTGGTTTGAGTTCCAGACCCGGTGGCTTGAAACTCACATCATGTGTGTGTACATGTGTACCGAAAATCCCGAGAGGAGAATGGAGAAGGAGGGACTGCGATGTGGCCACCCCTCCCCCCCGGGGGGGGATTTCTAACTCTCTCTTTCTCCATCTCTCTGATGAGCAAGCACACCCTATAGCAAAAATTTCCAAAAAAAAAAAAAAAAAAAGGGTAAGTGAAAATCAAAGTGCAGAACAGTGTGTGTGTGTGTGTGTGTGTGTGTAAGGCAAGAAAAATGGGAGTATGTTGTCGTATATGCTTAAAGAGACTAGAACCCAGGAAACAACATGAGTTACTTGTGGGAATACCAGGCAGATGGGTAGGATGAGAGCAAGATTTGAACCATATGGATGTATGACCTATGGAAGACAATTTAAAAGGTTAAAAAATAAAAGAAAGCAAATGAACACATACCTGGGCAACCCCTTCTTCCCAGCCTCGGATCACCTCCTGTTTGCCCAGCATAAACTTAAAGGGCTTGTTTCTGTCCCGGGAAGAATCAAATTTCTTTCCATCTTCAAGCATCCCTGTGAAAAAGGGCAGGTGTAACATGAGCAACAGGAGTAATGACAGGAGGCCAGTTAGATTCCAGCAGCAAAACACCCATCTCAGATGCCAGCACTAAAGGGCCTGGCAGGATGTTCTAGGCTTGGAGGAACTGAAGTGTCTAGGCAAGATTTCCTGTGACGTCACTGGCCATCTAAGGAGTTGGTGGAGTCCCTCCCAACTTCAAGCAGTAAGTTGGCTACAAGAGGACTTCCAGAGGCAGGCAGCAGATACTTTGTTCTGGACATGGGGACTATGAGCACCTTCCTGTCATGACATTCCTAGCACCTTGTGGATTTCCTTCCAGACTAACTGTGTAGCCTTTATGCCCAATAACAGCTGACAATCACACACAATGCAAGGAGCAATATCCATCCCCCTCTACTGTTTACTACCTCATGATCTTTTCTGTGAGTTACCAATCTCTGGGCTCTCATCCAGGAGAGGAAAACTCCCTTAGCACAGTGGGAAGTTGTAAAAAAAATAAAAAATAAATAAGCTGCCAGGCAAGCTCTCACTGGCATTCTAGTGCTGAGTGTCTTATGCGGCTGAGACCTGAGGCACAACCTGGGCCCTCTGCAGACTGGCTGTCCAGCTGTCTAGTCTCCCTGGGCTCCACCAGAGAAACAAAAAACAGAACTTGTGCAGCACTCGCCCCACTTACTGTATCCAAAGGTGCCTGAGATCGCTAAAGCTCATTTCTACACGGTTAACTCTAACATGATGGCCAAAGAACACAGAAATAGCAATGAGGAGGACTAAATGGCTGTCCTTGAAGAATCTACTCAGGAAACCAGCAGACGGCTCCTGGCTCCCATGGCAGTGCTACCACTCTGAGTCAGGGGCTGGGTTAGGTGTTTTCCACACCCAAACTCATTCGGTCCTTTCCACAGCACCATCCCCATTTCAGAGAGGAAAAAACAGTGGCACAGAAAAAGCAAAAAACTTTGCTAAAGTAGTACACCTAGACTATAATCCCCAACACCATGTTCCTCCTATGATACCAGTTTCCCAGAAGCCAGACAAACCACAGTGGTGACCTCAATAAAAGGACTAACCGGAGAGCAAGATCCCGGGGGTAAGAGCCACAAGAAAGAGGACTAGATGTCTATCGCAGATAGACATCTGCAATTCCCTTTTCAAAACAGACTATCAGCATTGGTTTCTCCGGAAGCCAGTGTTAGCCAGTTATGATAGCTGACACTGAGTTCCTGAAAACACTCTGTTAGGATTCTGGATTGGAAGAAGTCAGTCGGCTGTTGACAACTGACACAAAGCTGATTTTACTGGCAGCTGAGGATGAGTGCCCACCACGGTTCTAAGCATTACTCAGAAGACTCATCAAAACGGAATTCTGTTGTGTATGTATGCCTATCTGTTTAGGGGAAGAGGGAAATCCTGATAAAGCCCAACCTAAAAAACAACGTCAACACTTGTAAGAAGGACAGGGAAACAGATGAACTGAGAGCGTTATCACAGCCACCAGACTGTGGACTGAACAAAATAGGAAATGGGGGCAGGAGGGGGGAAGGTGGGTGCTGCTGTCCTACCAGAGCAGGATTGGAGCCGGATGTCCTGGGGCAGAACAGGCACTGACACTGTCTGAAGCCTGGAGCTGGGAGGTAAGGACTACGGAGACATGAGGGTGGGTCCCTGCTCCAAGCCAGTGTAGAACCAGGAACTGACACCCCAGAACTGATGAGTGGGGGAATATATTTAGCTCATTCCTTTTCCAGAACACAACCACCACCTGATAAAAGAAATGACAAATGGCAGGGCTTGAATAGTTTTCTATAAATGAGTAACTGGCAGAGAAACCAGCCTCCATGCTCCACAATCCCCACTGTACACCTTCCCATTCTCAGCTCTACCTCATGGCCTGAACTCAATCAAACTGAACTCCACGTGGAGGGCCGAAGTAAGGCAATGAGCAGCTCGGATTCTCAGAACCCCCCTGGCCAGCCAGGGACTCCACCTACCCCATGAGATTGCCTGTGAGAGAAAGAAGGAACAGTTCCAAGGCCCACAGATTACTGAGACAGACTCCCTTCACTTTTTAGTCCCATCAGATGCAATGACAAGCAAGTCCCAGATGTGACATGCATCAGTGCTGCTTGGCCTGAGGGAAGCTGGTTCGACGATCTGACTAGTTCAGACCAGGGGCACAAGGTGCTAGGGTGAGACAGAGCAGCTATCTGCTGCTGAGTCAGACGGGGGATGTGGATTCTCTTCAGTGCCGACACTGAGTTTGTAAGGCTGTGTCTAACCCTAGGTCTCTTTACTCATCTGGGACACTGAGCGACACAAAGCTCTCCCCATTATTTTAGGAAACCATAAAAGTCAGAGAGCAGGATCTCTAAGTAAAAGGTGTGAAGAAACTGGAATTCTCATATACTGCTGCTTGGCAGATAAAATGGCGCAACCACTTTGGAAACAGTTTAGGAGCTCAAGTTAAACACACTCCTATCTGACTTAGCCATTTTACTTCTGGGTATTCATCCAAGAAAAATGGCAGGCCATGTCCACATGAAGACTTATTCACAAATGTTCAAAGCAGAATTATTTGTAAGAGCCCAAAAGTAGACATCACCCCAAACAGCCACTAACTAGAGAATGGAAAAATAAATATATTCATACATAGAAAATCATTCAGCAATAAAAGAATGAATTATGGACACATGGAACATAAATAAACATCAAAATAATTATGCTAAGTGAAAGAAGCCAGATAAGAGAGTACATACTGCATGATTCTACTTATATAAAACTTTAGAAAATGCAAACTACACTGAGATGGGTGCTAAATTTGAGCTGTGAAATAATGGTTTCACTGACTAAAAAAGAAGATTTTCTGCTGAGGCTTCACCTTCCAAATTCATTTCTAGTGGCTTCTACACACTAAATATCTAGACAGGTCCAAGTGAACAGGATCCAAACATCTGAATACGATTAGGGTCAGAATATTCCTCAATTCCCACAGAATCTGATGCACAAAGAGTGAAAAACGGAATGGAAGAGAGACTGCAGATCACCTCCTCCTGCACACCTCTAAACACTCAGATTGAACTTCAAGAATTAGGAAGAAACACACCATCCACCAGATGACCAGAAATCAGTGGAGTCACAAGAAATATGGGAAAGCAAGAAAAAAACCTCTCATCCAAGGGAAAAAAATAACTCTTCTTCATCCCCAGATGGTACAATTAAATTCACAGAAACGTCAGATAAAGAATTCTGAATATTCATAGTGACAAAGCTAACAGAGATGGCAGAGAAGAGAGACAATCAACAGCAGAAGAAGCAGGAGAAAAGGGATGATGAGTTCTAGGAGGTGAGGAAATTCTTGCAAGATCTGAAAGAGGAAATACACACCATAAAAAAAAGAATCAAATGGAACTGTCAGAGATGAAGGCTATAATGCAGGAAGTCAAAATCTCTCTTGAAAGTATTAAAAGCAGACTAGATCATATAGAAAATCAAATCACTGATGAAGAAGATAGAATCGCTGGCCTAGAAATCCACCTCAAAGACTGAGAAAATTGCCCCCAAAAATGAGAATAATATATGAAAAATACTAGATACCATCAAACGTCCACTATCCCAGAAGGCAAAGAAACTCATAAGGACATTGATAATCTATTCCATGAAATCCTGCAAGAAACCTTTCCAAATCTTGAGAGGCATTCAAAGATCCAGTTCCAAGAAATACAAAGGACCCCAAATAGAATCTTAACTCAAGAAGACCTTCTCCAAGACACATTATAGCCAGGTTGACCAAAACCACAGACAAAGACAGGATATTGGCAAGAGAGAAACGTCAAGTTACCTACAAAGGATATCTTGTCAGGCTAACAGCAGACCTCTCATCAGAAACAATGCGAGTAAGGAAAGAATGGGAAAATATATTCAAAGTGTTAAGGGAAAAGCAATTTCAACCAAGAATACTGTACCTGGCAAGATTATCCTTCACATGGGAAGAAAAGACAAGAACATTCTCAGATAAAATCTGAAAGAATTTACCAACACCATACCAGAAGTTCTCAAGGGAGTGCTATACCAGGAAAATTAAATACAGAAATAAGAGTTCAAGGGAACCGGCTGTTAGCGTAATGGCTATGTCGCTGGACTCCCAAGTAGTTGACCGCGGTTCGCGTCCCAGACCCGGTGGCTTAAAACTCACGCCGGGCCGGGCGCATGTGCGTGCGTGCGTGCCCAAGATCCCGAGAGGAGAATGGAGGAGAAGGGATTGCAGCGTGACCAACCCCCCTGAGGGGTGATTTCTCGCTTTCTGTCTCTGTCTGTCTGGCGAGCGCATGCGCCCTATAGAGGAAAAAAAAAAAAAAAACCTTTGCAAAAAATGGCCAACTTAATTGTAGGGACAAGTCTGGAGTTGAATACTATATCCCAGAATTTAATCGGGGCGATCAGACCACAACAGAAGATAGATTAAGTACATGAGACTGAACTGGTGAAATAGAATTTTATGATTTTTGACTAAAACATTGCTGACTTTCTCTTAGGCTTTGATTTCAGTTTTAAGGATTTCTGTCCTGTTTTGAGCTGCCAATAGGTTCATGTACCTACTATTAGAACAGAATCCTAACCTGTTTCCTGGTTTTAAGGTTTAAACAAAGTTCTTTAGCATTTCTTTGATTTATTAAAGTTAAAACTGCTTTTCATGAAGTTAAAAAATATATTAAAAATACCTATTTAATGACCATAGTAAGCTATATTGATAGCATCAGTTAGATGCTACTTTATAGTATATTCATTCTACTCAGTTTCATGCCTAAAGTCAGCCATGTATTCACAGATATGTATATTATCAGCTGAACTTGCTACTGAAAGTAGTTAGATTATTTAAGAAATTTTGTGAATCAATAAAATGTGAGGGAAAAAAAGAAATGAAAAACAACTGTAGACACCAGAGTTAGTGTGGGAGGAGGGGGTGAGAAATAGAGGGAAAAATATATATACATAT